ATAAAATAAGTCAACTTTATGGAAACCGATTAGATTAACAATACCTGTTAGCATTGGTAGCACTACTGTACATAAAGAATTCAAATTACTCAATTAAATTTGTTTTTACACACATTGTGGAATGATGGTATAGTATTAAGATATTTGAAAATATTTTTATGTTTGATAGAAGCTTATAAGAACATATTTTTCTTATATTTCTAATCCTCCTATTAGCAAAGCTTGAATGTCATGGGGGTTTACTGCAGAGGTTCTGTATCTAGAAATTTAAAACGATGTTTTCCTTTTGTAATTGCATCTTTTCTCAACCTCCTGTGTGCAGGGCCCTGTGTTTTTCCTGGAAGATGGAAAATCTGCTGTCTCACTGAATGATGCCTTGATGTGGGCAAAGGTGAATCCATTCTCACCTTTAGGAACAGGAATACGACTCAATCCATTTTGAAAGAAGATTTTTCTCTATGCTTGAATTTTTTAAAGAACTTTTGTGAGTTAGTATCACCTTAATGTTTGTTGTCCAATAGCTAAAGTTGGGAGGAATCTTGGGAATTGGACAACATGGAGAGCAGCAGTTAATTTTATCCAGTGACTTTAAAAATAAAATATTTATATAATTTAAAAGAAGAGTAGATGTCTAATTTATAAGTTGGAAGAGCCACATTTAGGATAATATTTAAATATGAAGGACTCAATAGTGTAAAAAGCATATAAATTTCACAAAGCATAAAAAGAATTGAAATATATTGCTGAAATATTTCAACATAAAGCAGTGCATCACTTGGAGTCATTCTCAGTATACAGTAAGAAATTAGTGAATATTTGAATGACGATATCTTGAAATACAGAAATATAAGATCTACACAACTGATCATCTAGTTAAACACTTGTATTTTTCTTTATAAAATGTATACTAAACAGCTCATTTTAGTTCATATTTAATAGGTTTTCAATCACAAGGTTAGTAAATATCAACATTTGGATACATTCCAAACTACTTCTGATACTACTTTTTTAAAAAGGAAAAAATGACAGGTTTTTCAACTGAAGTTCAGTTGTCCCATGATGAAAGTGTAAGTTCTATAAACGTGTGATAAACACAAAATGTCATCAAACATGAGAATTTGTGTTAAATTATAATTATTTTAGAAGTCATCTGGTATGGAATGCAAATTCATTGTGATTAATGTACCTAATACCATTATTTACCTATTGAACTTTAGTCGAGTTCTATTAATGCTCCTTAAAACATAATTTGACGTGAGCCAGGCACAGTGGCACGAACCTGTAATCCCAGCACTTGGGAGGCTGAGGCAGGAGGATTGTTGGGAGTTCAAGACCAGCCGGACTACAAAGTGAGCTCAAAACTAGCCTGAATTGCATAAGAAGACCCTCTCTTTAAAAAACAAAAAAACCCATAATTTGATGAAAAATTTTAAAATACATTTATATAAGAAAATAAGATACTTGTTGAAAATTTGAATATACTGGGTCAATTTTTTAAATACTTATTAAAATAGTATATATTATGTCTGTATATACCATAGTTATCACATTAACCACTCTTAGTTCCTGCAAAAGACAGGTTAAAATTTCATGTTACTAACTGCAATAAATATTAGAGAAGACAATATATGTAACTCAGTGATGTCATATGTAAAAATGTATCTGGAGAATATTTTTGCATTCTTAGTTATTTGTAATTCAGTTTTTCTTAGGTGAAGAGAATAATTAATTGATATTGTATGCACTAAAATGTCTCAAAAATGGTAAGCTAAATACTACCGTCTCAGTTTTATGTTAAAAGTCTCATAAGCCTATATTATTATGCTGTAAATACTTTAAATGATATCATTAAGCTTAACTTATACATATAAAACACCTTTATGCATCTAAACGAATTCAGAAAAATACTCATAAAATAAGGGGAAAATCATGTAACTTATGAACACATGAAAGTAAGAGTGACCTGATTTCTGTTTAAAATGTAAATTGAATTCAGCTACCATTGTGCTATTATTTGACTTGTACAATGTTCTATGTTAATAGTAATCATAACTAATAATTCTTCACAGAATTATAAAAATGTCACTCTGGAGATATAACGCAGTGTTTGCCTGGCATGCAAAAAGTCCTGAGTTCAATCTCCAGCAATGCAAATAAACAAATCATGGCAATATATATATATATATATATATATATATATATATAGTGCCTTAATATAAAAAACAAAAAAATTATGAAAGTATTTTTCATTGTTATCCAAATACTTTGAAGATATGTAACAATTTACAGATGTCCATATCAGCAACAATGTGGCTAAATTATTTGGCAGCTTTAAATGTGCCTTTGTGAAGGACAAATATTATTCGACAATGATCATTAAGCATTAGAAAGATATTTTAACTAACAGAGCTACAAGTTGGCTGACAGAATTAAGCATCAAAATGAGTTACATCTTATGAAAATATATAATTTTTGTTTCAATCAAAATAAGTGAAGTGTATATTTTTATATGAAATCACCAAGACATATTCAGTAATGTAGTTACATTAGAGCAAAGACAGCATTTTGTCTTCATAATAAGAAAATTTATATTTGGGGGGTTTTAATTCAAAGGGCATTCTCAACAGCAAAAGCCTCACGATTATTTGTAAAATTCAGTGATTCGCAGTAGGTGTACCAGTAATGCAGAGGACACCTTTATTTATTTATTTATTTATTTTTTCAGAGCCAGGGATTGAACTCAGACCCTTGTGCTTGCCAGGGAAGTGCTTATTCTACTGAGCCATCTCCCCGGCCCCCAGAAGACACCTTTAGATTCCACCCTTACTGTTTACTGTGCCAGATCTTTGAGACATTTGCTTCTAAATAATTGCAATCTGTACTTTTGTGTTGAGCTATAAGATGATGAGCTATAATATGACTGAGCTATAAGATGACGTCATTATCTAGATCTATTTGTATGTATGTATGTATGCATTATATATTTGAAAGCCCATGAATTTTATTAAGTGCTACTACCATTTCTTAAACCTCCTAAGGCGAGCAGAAGTCTCATCCCTGAAATCACCGCTGAGAACACTGTTTCTCAGTAAGTGCTGAGCCAGCCATCCCAGAGAGAAAGGGCTCTCTGACTTGTTAGCCTATTCTGAAGGCAAGGAAAATCACTTTACTGAATTGTTCAAGAAACTGATCTCAATCTGTAAAAAGCACTAACTGCCGCATACTCCAAAAGTGGTGTAAAGGGGGAGAGTGCTGTGCTTACTCCCTAACATGAACAGCCTATCACAGTAACTTCCATGGGGCATTATCTGCACACTGGGAAAGTGCTGCCACTACTGGGGCTACTGTAGCTCCTGGAAATGTTTATTGCTTTTTTCTATCAAGGATCCTTCATGAAGTAAATCCTCTTCCTCAGTCATGCCTGTGGTGTTGGCTCCTTTTAATACAACTCATCAGGACGTTCTGAGGTTACCTACTTGGACTGTACGTGCTTCCTTCATATGTGTAATCAGAATGCAGACTATTTTCTATTTTCCACAATCTCCATATGTTGCACCAGAATCTTGGGAGCTTACCACAATGAAGCCATGATTAATTGACTTCTTAGGAGACTGAAGACAAGATCAAGAGGAAAAGAATATATATTATTATTTGACTGTTCCCCCAAGCCAATCCTTTTCTATGAACCTTTTCCAAGACTAGCAAAGACTGTTCTTAGAACCTTTTTTTAAGGAATTATATTTTATTGGTTCAAAATATTACTCTTACAATGATTGTCCCATCATAGTGCAAGGTCAATTGCTATATCTGGTTAAGATATATTTGAATTAGATCTCTTAACTTAGAAAAACTAGGATTTTGAGCACATGCTGAAGAAAGTACCTGTGTCATCCAAACTCTCTTTAAGTTCTTTTCTTAAATATAATATATTCAAAATATGAAACTTAGCAAGAAAGTCTCTGAAGGGAAAAAACATTAACAAAACATTTTAACCTTCATGCAAGCAGAAAAACTGGTAAGTTGGCATGCCATTGTAACTGTGTGCTGCACTATTGGTAATATCTGTCTTGCAAGTCAAAGGAGACTGTTAGTGAAATAGCATTAAAACATGAATAATTACACTTGAATATTTTGCTTATGTGATGTAAAATTACCAAGAATATATGAAGATAATTAGCATTGCAGGATATCAACCTGTTTTTATTTTGCTTCAGTGAAAATATGGGACATGGCAGCAACCAATCATACTTTTTTATTTGTACTAAAAGAAAGACTAGACATCAGAACCAGGTTGCAAGAAGAACATGATTTTCCTTTCCCACAACTTATTATCAACAGCAGGAACTTATTCTTTGAAAATGGTTTAAATAAAGCTATTCATAGAAATGGCAAGAGTTTCTGTGGGCCAGTGTATACTAAAAATCACTTAGAATACAGTTTTATTAAGGAATTTTATGAAGCAAATATGTTATATGCAACACTCCTATTCCTACAAAATTTATGGAAAAGAAATTTTACTCACTGTGGCGAATTGTGTTTAACAGTCTCTAAAATTAGTTTGCCTCACTTTATTTGATTTTGTATCTTCAACAGTACCAAGCACAGGTAATTAATAAATAGCTACTGAGCTGAAAAGAAGCCACCGCCATCCCAACCATGGATGAGAAAACACAATAAATTATTTATTACTGAAATGTGTGCAAGAGTAGGTGATTATATCCCTACAGGGTGGCAAGAGAGTGTGACATCACTTCTTCAGAGCCATATGACAGTACCAATCCAGGTTTCTTTTCCATGTTTCTGATCGGCTTCAGAACAGATTCATAAGATCATTTTTCAGCATGCTTCACATGAATTTCTTTATGTGCTTTAACACCACTACCAGTCTTTGCTGGAATATTTAAACAAATAATAAATTTATAATAAATTAATATCATTAAATATTTATGTAGTAATATATAATATGTAATAATATAAATATATGTAGAATGATTGCCAACAGGTTGAGCACAGGTTTATCAAAATGCCTGTAAAGAGGAATTATTCAAGTCACGCAGTATAGTAGTCCTGGATAAAAACAACCTGAATGTCATCCACCTCTAAAAGTCATCGAGAGTGCCCAGAAATATCCAGGGCCTATTTTGGTGCAAGTGATACTAAATAAGACTCAACTATTTTTAGACATTGCTTCAGAAAGCAGCTGAGGCAACAGGGGCACGATTCTGAACTCCGATTTGGCCAGCACATGTGATTCATAACAGTTTATGGAACTCTGGTTATCCAGGATAACCACTCAGACACTACTAGGTCACTCAGTTCTAATCTGAGAGACAACTAAGAAATGCATCTTCCTTTGGCCTATAATATCTCTAGATACCAGATTAGGTACACAAGCCAAGGAACTTGCTGGATAACATTGTAAAAGCAAAACTGATGAGCTTTATTTCAGTTCACTTTAGCCACTCTATTTGGTAGCGCGAAGACTTGCAAGAGGACCATCTGTGGCTTCTATTGGGTTACACATCAAGACTGGCCTGAACTACATAGTGAGACTGTCTTAAAAAAATGAAAAGCAAAAATCCATTCTATTTGAAATTTTTATCTGAATAATACAGTAGTATTTCTAAATATAGTATTCACATGAGCTTTGAAAACTTTCCTAAGAGAGAACAGAAATGAGGAATATTCGTTAGCAGTTCACATAGCAGCAGTAGGCCTTTTTTCTTTTTGTGGAACCTGGGATTGAACTCAGGCCCTTGCGCTTGCCAGGGAAGTGCTTATTCTACTGAGCCACCTCCCTGGCCCCCCAGTAGGCCTTTTTGTATGACTCATTTATGTTTTACACAGCAAGGAATCCATACTGTGACTCATTGTCATTTCTTTCCACCTTTTCCTGTCCTTTCCTTGAAAGCCTCAAAGCCATGTCCCATCCACAGTCAGATCCAACAAGCCATAAGAGGAAAAATGCAAATGAGAAAACCAAAATCAAAAGGCAAAAGGGCCTAGTAGTAGCTAGGCTGTGACTTAGATACACACCTGCCCCACTGGACCTATCAAAAAGGAGAGAAGTATACCAATTGAATATATATTTTTAGAATGAATATTAGCCCACAGCCAACATTTTAACTATGTAAAAACTTCGAGTGACTAACATAAAACAAAACATTGATTTTACCAGACAAAAATGTTAGAACAAAAACTTACATGAAGTTGCAGCTGTCTCCTTTAAAACTTTTGGACATCTACACCCAGAGCCCCGGGGAGGAAGATGATCAAGAGTAATTTCTGCCACGTTTGGTTTGACATCAAACCAGCCTATAAACACAAAATTATTTCTTGAAAAGTTAGACTAGATATTGTCAAAATAAGATATTTATTTATTTATTTATTTATTTATTTATTTATTTATTTGGTACAGGGTCTTGCTATACAGCTTGGACTCCTAGTGATCCTCCTGTCTCAGTCTTCCCAGCACTGGGCTTACAGGCATGCACCACCATACCCTTTCAAAGGCCGGCATGGCACATCCAGGGTCCCCAGACCCGCACAGCATGCAGTACCAGGGATGGAACCCGGGTCCTTGTGCTTGCCAGGCAGGCACTCAGGCTGCTGAGCTATCTCTCTAGCCCGTAGACCATAATTTAAAAACTAATCAAATCAAACATTTGGTTTTCTCATATTCTTAACATAAATAGGTAAATAACTTTCCACATTGTTCACAATCTTTGGTGCATAGAAGTTAGTGTAAAAGTTATTTTAAAGGCACTATTCTATGTTCTATTAGATTTAGATGCATTTTATTCAATACTATATAGAAAGGTGACCAAATCATTAATTTAATCTGGTAATTTTTTAGAATGCGTATATATATGCAAATATATATATTATAGATAGAGAAATATATATCGAGACAGACAGACAGAAAGAACTAGTAGCCTAAAACTCTCTACTGTCTTTCCTAGACTTGATTCTAAAAGGAAGACCTTACTCTGACTACTTTTATAAGTTACTTTTATCTATTTTTATATCTAAGTAAAACTCTGGAATTGTGATTTGTGAAAATATGGTTGTACCATAAATATGTTTAGAAGTAACTGAGCCTATACGGCGCAGAACTTGGGCAATTTTTCTTTGCTGCCAGGGTGGTTTCCTCTTCTGCAGCTCATTCCTCACTGAAGTCTGAAGAGATACCTAAGGTAATCCTTCTCTTCCCTTATGCTTTGTGAGGCCTAAACAAATCTTTGATCAATAACATTATAACTATAATTATCGCTATTAATTTTGCAACAGAGGAGAAACTTTTGCCATCAGCAATTTCAAAAATCAAGACTAGTAGCCAGACATCGTCATGAACACCTGTAATCTTACCACTCTAGGAGACGAGAGGATTCCAAGTTTAAACCCAGCCTGGGCAATTGAAGACTTTGTGAGAACTTATCTCAAAATTTTAAAATGCAGAAATGAACTAGAGAAGAAGCTCAATGTGGTGTTATGAAGACGAGACACAATACAGCTCTGAAAGAGGAAGAATTCAAGGGTTGAGGTGATAGTAGCTAAAGAGAAAGTGTATTCAAAAGATGACAGACTGGGCTGAGGAGATAGCTTGGTGGTCTAAGCGCCTGCCGGGCAAGCATGAGGACCTGGGTTCCTTCCCTGGTGCCGCAGCGTACAGGCCTCAGAAACCTGGACCCATAGTATCACACCTGGCCACTGACACCAGGTACGGTGATGCACCCCTGTAATCCCAGCACTGGGGAGGCTGCGACAGGAGGATCACTATGAGTCTGAGCTGTGTAGTGAGACCCTGCGCCAAACAAATAAGTAAAAGCTTAAAATAAAAGATGACATTTGAGGTTAGCTCTGCAAAGATGATTTTTAAATATAAGAAAAAACAATGTGACAGATTTGTAGATCTAGAATAGCCTGATGGAATCTAAATAATCTAAATTCTGGAAGAAGAAAAGAATTTAAGGGGCTGGAGAGATGGCTCAGTGGTCTAAAGCACCTACTTGGAACAAGCTTGGCAAAGCACAGGGACCGCAGTTCAATCCCCCAGCACCACATGCCA